CTATTGGAGCCGCACCAGGAACCAGGTTAATCTGAAACTCAACCTGTCTCTCAGGAGGTATCCCGGACAAATCCTATGGGAATACATCCGGGTACTCACGTACCACCGGTACATCATCAACCATCGTCTTACCCTTATCCCGGGTATCCACAACGTAGGCGACGTACCCCGCGCAACCCTGCTGGAAATAGCGCCTCACTCTCGCTGCTGAACAAAGAATCGGTCCGCGTTGTGGCCTCTCGCCCTGAATCACTAACTCTCCCCCACTAGGAGTGCGAACCCTCAACAACTATAGCTCATAATCAATCACTGGTCCATTGGAACTCAGCCAATCCATACCCACTATAACGTTGTTCCCTCGCAGGGGAATAGGAACCAAATCTACTGGGAACTGCTCATCAAATAACCGCAGTGTACATCCTCTATGAACTCTCGCGGCCCTGACGGTCCTGTCGTCTGCTATCTCCACATCGAGTGGGCAATCCAGCTCCCCCGAAGCTCTGCTAAATCGCTTGCTAAGTGCAAGCGACACAAATGATCGGGTAGCCCCCGAATCAAAAAGTACCATAGCTGAAATGTCGTTCACTAGGAACGACCCTAAGCACATAAACATAACATAAGCAATAATCAAATAAATGATAATAAGAAGATGGAGAAGATACATACCAGTAACCACATCTGGAGTCGCTCACACCTCCTCTGCTGTCAACTAAAAGGCTCTGCTCTTTGCCACTGGCGCCTCAGCCCGGCCCTGGAGGCCGTCTGTAATCCTCATAGTAGCAGGAGCGGGTGCCACCACCTTTCCTGCTGATGCTAGACTCGGACACTGGGACTTCTTGTGTCCCCTCTGATTGCAATGGAAGCAAATCAGATCAGATGTTGTGGTGGTAGTAGTGGTAGAAGTAGCGGTACAATCTCTGCTCACATGCCCAGTTCGGCCGCATTTGAAGCAGCCAGAACTCCCCGCCCTGCACGTCCCCTCGTGCGACCTGCCACACTTGCCGCAGCGGCCTCGGCCCTGCTGGCCCTTCCCTCGGGAATCTGTATTGGGCTTCTTTCCCGAACCCTCCATGCCAGATACTGACTCTGGCTTCCTCTTTCTCTCCATCTCTAAATCTATCTCCCTGTCACGAGCCCTCGCAATCATGTCCTCTAGCGTCTTGCAGCTGGAGCGGCTCACAAACTGACGTATATCACTCCGCAAAATCTCATGATATCGGGCCTTCTTCATCTCCTCGTCCGCCACATACTGCGGAACAAGAAGGGCCCTCTCCCGGAACATGGCGGTAATCTCCGCTACGGTCTCCGTCGTCTGCTGGAGGTCCTGGAACTCCCTAGCAAGCTGATGTACCTCAATGACATGTGCGAACTCGGCCCTGAACCTGGTCGTGAAATCACCCCAGGTCATCGCATCCAATACTGCGTCATCACCCACGGCCTGTCCGACCTCCTCCCACCAATCTCTTGCCCTGTCCTTCAGAAGGCAGGACGCTAACCTGACCTTGTCCCCCTCGGGACATCTGCTAGTGCAGAACGTGTTGGCAACATCCGCCAACCACCTAGTACCGGCACTGGGGTCCCAAGCCCCATGATAATCGGGAGCCCCACATGCTCTGAACTCCCTGAAGGTGAGCGTGCGCGACCCCATCATGGCCGCCACCTCGGTGCGAAAGGCGCTCAGCTTCTCGTCCAGAAGCTCTAGAATACCCTCCTTGACCGTACCGAATATCACAGGAGTCTGCTCTAGTATAACGCGAGTAACCTCTGAGGAGAGGAACTCCCTAGTCTGCTCATCTAGCTGCCCGGCTCCAGAGCCCGAGCCTGATCCCTCCCCGGCACCTGAACTGTCGACTGCTGGTATGGGTCGTAAAACCACCATTCTGAAAATACATCAAAAACCAAGTCAGAATACTACTCATAGCTAGAGGGATCACACATACTACAAGTTCCCTGGTTTATCTCAGCCTTCCTTGATTCGAGTACGGATCCTCTGCTTTCAGTAGTACGGGCTTATACTACCTTTCACATCTATCCGTACTTTCCTCAAGAACTACCTCGACTCTACCAAGTCCCTTCTACTACTACTGATCTCATACTAAACTTCTTCCTAGGCTTGCCCTAGGGTAATCACCACCCCACTCTCCACCATCAGCTGCATAAGAAGTCCCTGCTTTCTTTCACTAACTAGCTCGCGAATACTATTACATATTACTCAGACTAGATAATTCTTCGAATGAGAGATCCTACTCTACAACGGTTGGAATCAGACAAGAGCTGCGAAATAGAGCTAGACTTAACCTTCTAACTAACATATTCGTTTACTACTTAGTGAAAGATAACTAAGACTCCTAAAATCACAAAGCAAGCAGCATTCGAGCATCGAATACACATAATCAAGCATTTACTGCACTGGCTATCATACTGACTAATTTGTACTAGCATGCAGTTCTCATAAAGCTGGAAACATATAACAGACACATAAGGCATCCTTCCTAGATCCTTAGTCCTAATCTAGCATATTGTTCTAATAAAGCTGATAATCATAACATAGCATAAACTTGTATGGGTAATTTGTGAGTACTTACTTGAGCTCGGCTGATTGCATGCACCACACCCTTTTCTCTTTTCAAAGTTCTTTTCTATTAAAATAAATCCTTTTTGTAAACATGATTTTCTTTTGAAAGTTTCATACTACTTCCTTAGTTTGAGTTCAGACACACCCGAAAGTGTGCCCAAATCCCTCAAACCAAGGCTCTGATACCAACTTGAAACATCCCAAAAACACCGCCCAAAAATTTCATTTTTCAATCATAATAAAAATCATAAGCCTTTCAGTATCATAAGTAAAATCGTGAGTCATGTATCATAACATATCATAAAATTTGTCTCATATATAAATCTCATAACAAAATATTGAAGTGAGACTCCCAGGGTGGAAACTGTGGTGTGTGCCATGCGATCATCCCGAGCCCTTCCCTTTGCTAGTGGAAGTACCTGAAACCAAAACTGAAAACTGTAAGCACGAAGCTTAGTGAGTTTCCCCCAAACTACCACATACCATACACATATAACATGCAACTAGGAGATACGGGCCCTGCCGACACTCATGGAGATACGGGCCCCGCCCACACTCTGCTAACTAGGAGATACGGGCCCCGCCCACACTCATGGAGATACGGGCCCCGCCCACACTCGCCTGCTATGAGTTACAGGCCCCGCCCACACTCAGCTACTATGAGATACGGGCCCCGCCCACACTCAGCTACTACTCTAACATACAAGTATCATACAGAAACAAGTATACTAAATATATCATTCAATCCTGAATCATATTGCAACCAAACTACTAGGAGATACGGGCGCCACCCAGACTCAACTAACTAAGAGATACGGGCCCCGCCCACACTCAACTAATAATAAACTCATACTGCAGGCCGGCCTTGGTGCCTTAGACCTGTTCCTACTGAAGGGACACTCACCTCGTGTGTCTGGCTGCTGAAACCCTGGGTGAGAATTATCTGGCTGCTGCTCCGGCGACTCTCCGACTATAATTCCCACAATGATACATAGTCAAAAACTGATAACTAAACTCAGGGTGAAATGACCATTTCACCCTTGGTCAACAATAATATTCTGGTCAAGTCAAATTTCCAGTTGACCGGACTCGCTGAGTTGGCTCGACTACTCGCCGAGTCCCAACACTCTCATCCACCCCCAACCCGACCCTACTCGTCGAGTTTCGCAAGAACTCGACGAGTTCTCCTTCAATCATAACATCAAGACAATCTTCATCAAACTCGACGATCTGACTCACCGAGTTCTTCCTGAACTCGTCGAGTTTATCTTTATCTTAAGAATGTGTCTAGTCTGTGACTCGCCAAGTTGTATGAACAACTCGTCGAGTTCATCTTCATAAGTTGGGAGATGGCCTTGGACTCGCCGAGTACGTTCCTGCACTCGCCGAGTCCCATGGTTTCTAGATCCATGGCTTTGTCCATTTCATTGAGTCCCTTCCCTGGACCCATCCAAATCCCTTCTGAACTAAAATGGGTTCCTCTGAGTCATAGCAGTTTTGGGAACCAACTCACGACTCGTCGAGTCCCAAGAACGACTCGCCGAGTCCATGCATGTCCAAGTCTAATAATTTGATTTCTGATGTGCAAAACTCATCCAGAAGGTAGATCTAGGCCCCTAAGATCGGTATGACGCGTAAAGTCATGAACTTTACGTTCATGCATGGGACTTTTATGCTCAAAGGGCCAAAAATGGGGTTTATTTCATACTTGGGGTTCTCATGCCCATAAAGATGGCACCTTTATGCCATGAGGACCCTCCAAGGTTCCAGATTTGTGTGTAAATTGGGACGTCCAAGTCCCAAGGATCAAGCTCCTTGGACCCAAAACCTCATAAAGATGACCACAAGGAGATCTAAGAAACTACAAGTCAAGTATGAGGCTTGATTACCAGAAAGTGAAGAGAAGCTGATGTTGTTCCTGGATCTACAATCTTCTCTTGAAGTCCTCTTTCTTCCTCTTCTTCTCACAAGCAGAAACGAGGCGTCACAACTAAACGCATAACCTTTCCAACAAGAACTAGTCCGTTCAATAACTGCTCCACGTGGACTTTTTTTTGTTTATTTTTTTATTTTATTTTTCAAAAAAAATGACGAAAATAATAAAAAAATATTTTTTTTTATTTTTTTTGCATTTTAGATTTTTATTTTAATTATTTTGATCTTCAAGATTAGTGGCTAGCAACACCACCACAGGATCCTGAGCCATCATTAAGAAGAATTGTAGGTCAAAATCTCGAAAAAAAAACAGAGAAAAAAAAGTGTAAATATGCATATTTGAATATATATATATATATATATATATATATATATATATATATATATATATATAAATTATGTTATCTAACTGTGAATTATATATAAGTATTAAAGGTAGAGATGAAATTTCACCTTTAACTTATCCTTAGTTATCACTTATCAGTGTCTCCTATCTTCCATCTTTCTCTTTTCCTTGTATGCATATGTCCCCATTTTTCGTGTTTTCTTCAAGATAGTTGTTGCATATGACGTAAACAATACCACCACTACCATCTTGATAGTTGAACCCGCCAACAACAACACCATCACGGTCATGATCATTCAGCCGCCTCATCATAAACATATCCTATCATCACGATAATCATATACCATATACACTATTATCTTCACGGAAGAAGCAAAAGAGTGGGTGTTGATTTTTTTCATGGATTACATGTGTGTATGTATGATCGAAAAAAATAGAAATCACAGCCTGCCCATATGAATAAATTTATGCATGTCTGAGCTCTATCAATATATCTAATTAAATTAGGGCTTAAGCCTTTAGTATGAAGAGTAGTCCTCCTCTCCCATGTTGGTATGAAAAGAAAAATGGTGATAAAAAGACCTTGGCTTTATGTTTTCGTATTTCACACATGCGCAAGAACAAGCAAGGATAGAGTTTTGTTATGTGTAACTATTCTGAATTTTTATAGATGTATCTTAGAATACGCACAAGATAGTCATTGATTATTTCGTTATGAACTTTTACTTTAATGGTGCAATATTAGAAGTTCTTTTTCTACTGGAAATGTTTCATATTCATAAGTAATTTGTAACCATCTGATGTATCCATTTATGATTTAACGTGTATTCAATTGTATTCATATGATTAGAGGTATACTCATTTATGAATGAAGTGTAGTTATTAGTGATTTGAGGTGTTTTTCTCTTGGTTGAATCGATGAGAATAAAACATATATTCATGTTCATCTTTTTTTAAATGTAATTTATATTCTCTTTTCGTATATACATTTGTGATTAAAGATATACTCAGTGATTAACAATATATTTATTTTTTTTATTAGAGATGTATTTTTTTTAGAAGAAATGATGATATTTAGACAATTTTTATTTTCCATTAATGAAATAAAGACATCAGATTCCTTTCACGTGTTAATGAATAGAAGTGTATTCATTTGTGATTCGAGTTGTATCATATTTTGAAGAAAAAAATGTTGTTTTTTAATATAAAAAATGAAAAAGAAACTATTTATATATTCCACTAACTAAAATAAAAATAATTATATTAACTTTTTGTTTTTTAATTTTTTAGGAAGCTACATTCGTTGCTAGATTTTAGGAGAGCAAGATTTAATATTAATATGCTAAAGTTTATTTTAAATAAAAAAATACTAATTTATCATTGATAAAATGATTGGTCCACAAGTCTTTCCATATTTTCAACTTTTTGGGTGTTTTCATTTGAACCTCATTTTCTCTCTCTCTCTCTCTCTCTCTCTATATATATATATATATATATATATATATATATATATATATATATATAGGGTTAGGTTATTTTGTTTTTATTGGCTATTGTTTGCCAGAATGCACAAATCTGGACCACCGGATGGAATAAAATCAAAGATCATGATCTGAGGGTCTATGATATCACAATAGGGTAACATGTACCATATAATCACACAAATTCCAGCATAAGGGCATTTTAGTCAATTAACCTATATTAAAAAAGGAAATTTTCGGATTTTTAGGGATAATTAATTCCTTTATTTTTTAAAATCTGAATATTTTAAATTAATTCAACTTTAAAAATCCGATTTTATTCTGTCAGAATGTCAAACATTAATTAGTAAAGATATTTTCGATTTTATTCTTGCGGAATATATTTCCAATGCATATATTTTTGATAATTAACCTGATTTAATAATTCAACATATATTTTTCATATACCTTAGAACGTGAATACAAAATCATACATATTCTTATAAACTAATAGTCTTATACAATTTAATATAGTTATCCATATTTTAACAGAATATCATCAAAAATGAATAAAACTATTAAGAAATAACATTCTTAAATATACAATTATTAAGCAAATACACATGATCTTCATCAATGGTCCAAATAATGCACTTGATTCAAACTATGATGAAAATGTGATATATTATCGTAATAATGTAATTCTTCGCAAAATATAGTTGTTGTTGAACTCGATTCCAAATCTTTCTCTTGTATGATCAATATTGAATTCCTTCTTCAAGCCATTCTGAAAGAATAAGATGCATTATTCGTTAGCATTACCAGTGAAGCTAATGTACTTGTTGTTAACAAACATTCTCAAAAACATTCTAACAGAATGCATTTATACAAATAAATTCTGACAGAATACAAGCATTACTTATTTAATAGAAACTATATAATAGAGAATGATAGCATATTCTAATAGAATGTATTTCATTTTTCCTATCTTGCAATGTTTTTTACTTTTCCTATCTTGACAAATAAGGAGATTGAAATCGAATTCTGTCAGAATAATAGACATTTTAAGAGTTCTGACAGCATACATACCACATGACCAGATTCTAATAGAATGTATTTCGTTTTTCCTATCTTGCAATGTTTTTTACTTTTCGTATCTTGACAAATTAGGAGAGATTGAAATCGAATTTTGTCAGAATAATAGACATTCTAAGAGTTTTGACAGAATACATTTTCTTTTAGGCATTTCCACAAACACCTTTCGTGCAACATATATAGATAATAGAGAATCAAAGCTCAAAGTATAAAAAAACAAACATGCAGTAAGTGAAGATTTCTATGTACTGTGAGTGTGGCTTGGCTTTCAATCACAAATAAAGAAAAAAACAAAATCTAAATTAAACAACACCAATTGAAGAATCGTTTGACAATCCATCTAAAGTGACAAAGAGGAACAGATAACAGTTGTGTGTATGAAAAACGAAAGAGATAGACCTGAAGAGCTTGAAGGGTAGAGAACTTGAAATCGAGTTTTTCGCCTGATTTAAAATCAACATACGATGCTGAAGAGGAATTGTGCTTGTGAAACCTATTCATCATCTTCTGCTTCATCATCTCCTTCATTCTGATTAGCAGCCAATCTTCAGAATCGTTTGAACTTAGAATCTTCATAATCAGATGGTGATTTTAGGGTTTATTGCAGCTGTGGTGGTCGTAGTGTCAGATGACTTTCATGATTTAGGGTTGGGTTGTGAAGAAGCGGAGCGGAAGATGAATGCAGTCGTTCTTCCTCCTTTTATTTTGGTGACTTTAAAATCAAATCCCCCATTTATCTCAATTACAATAAAATTAGAGTCATGATTTACTAATTACCCTTATTAATTTATTTAATGATTAAATTATTCCTAAATTCCTATTGGTGCATTCATGCACACAATAGTTGCTAGAAACATTTGAACCTAAGTCTCTCTCTCTCTCTCTCTCTCTCTCTCTCTCTCTATATATATATATATATATATATATATATATATATATATATATATATGTGTGTGTGTGTGTGTGTGTGTTTATATTTTGTTATTTATTTTTTATTTATTAACACTTTTTTTTACCTTAGTTTGAGATATTTTTATCTGCATTTAGAAGACACGCCTCATTTTTATTCACGAAATGTTATTTGGCCAAACTAAATAGTCGTAATATATAAACGTTTAAACAGTTTGCTATTTGATCAATGTTATGGCAAATAACATAAATTTTAAAACACTTTTAATTAAAAACAATATAATTTTGAAATAAATAAAAGTAAAAGAAATCAAGGAGTTATACGTTATTGACTAGCATAGTAGCATTAGTAAGAGAATGAACCTATTGAGCTCCCATGCGTTTAAGTTGGGATTTAATTAAGCATCAAGTAAGTTCATAAATGTAAATAGTCAAGCTTTATTAATTTAGTCCCAAATGCAGGATTAAATTATTATTAAATTTTATGGCAAAATCGTGTCTCTACAGTTATGTCGACCCACTAAGTTTCATGGTATGTTTTTGGACTTCTAAATTCTTTATATAACCCAGTGGGTAACTTTTTATGATTTATTAATGATTAAAAAAAAAAAAATTCCTATAGGCTTTTTTTTGGTTTATATACGATGGCGGATCTAAAAAAATAATATAAGGTATATAGTGTTTACACAAACTAATACTATTAAGATTTTTTTATCAAAAGACGGCGAAACCTATAATAATTTAAGCAATGTCATAATATAGTTAACATGTAAAATATAAAAAATAATTGACTGCCGTATACAATGTTATTAAAACTAAAGAGAAACTATCACAAAGGTACCCCGCTCCGCGGGGTTCGGTTTTGATCGTGGTGTTATTTCTGTCTTTTTCGGTATATGTTTTAATGGATATTATTTTTTTGTAACATATATATATATATATATATATATATATATATATATATTAATATGTGTGGTAAATTTAGTGCATAAAATTGTAAAAATAATGGGTGCCGTAGTTGCAGCCGACTTAGGTAGGTAAACAGGTTGAAGTTGGCAAGGGAAACGTCATCTACGTCAACGGTATTGATGACCGCATTAAGTGTAGGAAAGCAATCGTCATGGAGGGCAATCTGGCTTCTATAAGATCCGTAAAGGGACTACCCTTTATTCCAGATATCTCATTTTTTGTACACATTGCTTTTGAACGTCAGTGCTAGAAATCGAGCAGGAAGAAACATGAAGCCGCAACAAATGGAAAAGATTATCAAAGTTCTAATCAAGCAGGCGGAAGAGGAGGTAACTGCATTGGCAAATGTTGAAAACGATTTCTATCTAAACCAGCAAACAAAAGCCGAAATACAGGCAAATATGAACTAGGGACCTACGTATCTTAACTATCTGTGGATGGAGAAGCTACTCATTGATAACACATATGAAGCATTGAAAGCTATCCAAACCATCTATAAGCTGAAGAGGGAAGCAGAGATAAGAATGGAGGAACTGAGGAAGGAGCTGAAGACACTACCAGAGGATGATCGACCTTATGTGGATTAAGGTGATAGTTTTATGGAGTTAGTTGTTATGGTGTTTTGTTTTAGAATGTAAATGGTCTTTTGGGGTTGTAAATGGGTATGGTCGTATGGTGTCTGTTTTGGAAATGGTGTTTCTTTGGTTTTTGGTTTCTTGTGTATAGGTAATGGGTTGGCAACCGTATTTGTCGTGGTCATATGTAATGTAATGCTTTTATGTTTCAAGGAACGGAAGTGATAATTAGTACTTTACATCTACTATTTATAGATTAAGGATGTTTGTGTGAAATGTGTTTTGTTTTGGTGTTTATGGATTTTTTGTATTTATTGAATTTAGTATGAAAGGTTGGATAATGCTGATTCTGTTGTACGTTTCTTGTTGTAGTTTCATTTAGAGTAATGTTGGAAAATGGGTTGAATGGAGTTTGGACTGTGTTTTACTACTGAGAAGTGGGGACAAAAAGTTGTTAGCTTCCAATATTGAGATCATGTAAGTGTAAGTGTGTAAGTTGGGCCCTCCTGTATGTATCATTAATATTATATACTGTGTGTAAATAGTAGCATGTTTTGGTTATGAGTTCAAGTAGTTTTTGGATTTTAGGGTATTCCAGGTTTATATAATTGTTATTCTTGAAAAGGAAATAGATGGGTAAAATGGGTATTATTAGGGAAAAGTGGTTGTATGTGTATTTTGTCTAAAAGAAATATATGATGTCAAATCTAACAAACCAAGATAGATTCTTATTTAACCAAAAGCAGAAAAAACGTTTTGTCTTTCTGAGGGTGTGGATGTGTTGTGTAGTAAGAACATAAAGAACAAAAAAAAGCCACGAAAAGCAGTAAAAGTGGTATTGTAGTAAAATAGTTTTGGAATAGGTAAATTTTTGTAAATTATTTATGTACATATTGGTGATACATTTATAGGAAATGGGTATTTTAGTTGGGTCCACAATTATGGTTCTAGTAGACTGATTTTTATCTATTCAAAGCATACATAAGTGGTACATTTCATAAAGCTTATAGCATCCAAAGTTGCATAGTTAACATATTGGTACAAAGTGTTATGTTGTTTACATACAAAAGCAGTAAAAGTGTTTATGGAACATCTGATACTAACTACAAACAGACGGGACACATTCATGAGAAACAAAATAAGAGATGATGGCATCTATTTTTTGCGGCTTCGCTTTGTGTCCGTTGATGGTGTTGGCTCATATGTATCCAAAAGAGAGAATGTGTTAGAAAACATAAAGGTATGATAGGTAATAATTTGGTTTATGTGTATACCAGTGGTGTTGTATAACATAGTACGTGTGTTGCGTGTGACAGACATTGTAGATTCAGGTGTGTCTTGAAACTGAATATCCATGATTGATGCTTTGATCAAAAAGGTTTTATCCTGCAAACAGGTGGTTGTACTGTTAGGGTATTGATTTTTGTCAGTATTATTCAATGAAATTAGATAGGAGGATGTCATGTAACATGACCAGTAAGTCTGATCGTTTTCTTGTTTTGATATCCTGCAATGTAATTGGTATTCCAGATGGAATAGAAATTGGTCTTTGTGGTCCACGGAAACTGAAATCAGATAGTCATTTTGTTAACAATAGTTTTATTCAAGAAATGTGATGGTTACAGATGAGAAATGTGCCGTACATATCAAGAAGTGCTGTTGTTTTTGGTATTTCTGGATTTATGTATACACTAGGTAAATGCTCGCGCGTTGCGCAAAATATAATTATAAATTTAAAATATATGTTGTTTAAATATAAAAATGTCATAGTTAACTTTGATATAATAATCCTTATACTAATTTAGTATAAAATATTAAATATTTTGAATTATATGATCATATTAAATCTATTAAAACTATATAGGCTAAATCGTCTCAGTGGACTCTATCAGCATGTTACTCGTAAATTAATGTTATTTTAAAAACTACATTTGATTACAATTTAGTTCTTACATTTAACACTATAATTTATAACTTATAACTATTTACAAAATAGTCATTGGATTTTCTTTAAGTTTAATTGAAAATTTCATTTAAGTTAGTACTTTAACAATGTATTTAAATTAATAATTTAAGTAATTTATAAAAATTGTTCAAAAGTTGTGACTTTAAACTGAAAATTTAAGAAATAACATAACAAAACTAAATATAAGTAAAATATGTTAATTTAATATTCAAGTTTAGTTAATTTTAGGATTACAATTAGCGTTTTACACCTATTTAACAATTAACCAATGTATATTCATTATTAGAAAGAAATTGAAAAGTAATGAGAGTTTCAAATATATGCGGTAAATAGAAAATTATATCTTTCAGATTTACATGGAAAATTTAAAATATTCACGACTTTTACTTAGTTACCTTTTTGAAGCGGTACAAAACAAACGATAATATTTAACATATCTAATTAAATATTATCTACATCACGGTATATAGCATATGATCGATAACATCTATCTGATCTAATATATATTAACAATTAAAGCACAACATACAACAATTGTATTAAATGAATCCAAAACCAAGAAAAACATATAAACAATTAGTATATAACAAACTTACAAATGAAAAGCTATAACATAATAATATATCTCGAAAAGTGGTCATAAGACCTCAAACCAACACAAAAGCCTTTAAGCTTGTTTTCTTTATGAAGTTTGTATGTGATTTGTATGCATGTCTACCCAAAAGATTGATCCTTTTATAGTAAACGTTTCATTAAGTACTTATTAATCATAATATAAGTTATAAAACCTTTGAGTGTTAAATCATTATTAAGAAGACTTTTGAGTTGTATTAGTTAAAATATGGGGGTTTCAAATGAATGTGGTTTAAGCAAAAATAATTCTATATAGTCTTGGGAGTTTCAAATGCATGAGGTTCAAGGAAAAATGCTAGCTTTATAAGATGTATAGATAGATGGGTGGCAGAGGATGATCCATGGCGCAATGTTCATAGGATTAAAAACAAGATTATATTCATTAATAAGAATTATTATTGTATAGTAGTAATTTTTTTTTTGTAACTTTCAAATTGGAAGTGCCATACCTGCAGTAGTGGAAGGTTTTAGGTTTGTAACAGCAACAATTGTAATCGCATGCAGCGGGATGAGTAGATCGCGGTTGAATTTTGTTGGGACTGTGATGCATTCATTCCATAGGTTTATTGGAAGTTCATTGCAATACATGTTTAATGTATGATGTTAATACCTGATGGAAGTGTAATGTATACTTAATATATGTTCCATGATATTGCAGTTACCTGTTGTCTGTTAGGAGGAGGAAAACATATGGCTCATCATTTTGTTTTCTGCAGTTTTTGATTTTTGATAGAACACCAATAAAATCTAAAAAAGTAATTAATGTTATTATGTGAGTAATCTGTATGATATAGAATGAAACAGAGATCTGTATACCTGGATAGTAAGGTGGTTTTTCTCCAAGTTCCATGAGATGACATTTTGTCACAAACCAGAACCAGTGTTTTGGTATTGTCATTGTATTTGGAAGTGGTTTGATTACTGAAATGAGACCAACCTCAATGTAGAAATCATTCTCTAATACCTTCTGGTGCCTATCAAGTTCTGGGCAGCTGTATTCGGAGATCGTGTAGCAATCGAATAATTTGAATACTGATTCAATATAAGCCTGACTGGAACGTTGTCCAAGAATTTGTATTGCATCTCCCTATAGAATTAATTAAGTATTAAAGTATAACCATAGTAACTGTTTTTTGTATATTTATGTTTTGTGTATATATTTTGTTCACTTACAAATCTATCAATAGCTAAGTACCATGTATCGTATCGACGAATATCGTTCTTCCATCTGTGGATGATTCTCACTTGTAAAGGAGCTCCAACACCTTTGCACTTCAGATCGGATATACTACACATGACTAATGTGTCTTCACTGTTAGGAAAACAAGGATTAATTGAGGTAAAAGTGTCAGGTATTACATATAGTATGCATCGAGGCTTGTTTGGAAAATAATTACAGCTATGTAAGTAATAGTGATATGAAAGTTAAATTTTAGGTTATTATGGGTATTATGGACCTGATTGTGGATTACACTGCGTAGCAGATCTTTGTACACAATGTTTTTTGTCTCTGTGGGTATCGGATGTTCATTTCTTTCTATAATAATTTTTATGGATGGAGGTGATGTTGCTCTGGAGAAAGCTACATACAATTGTCCATGTGCAAAAATTGGTTGAGATAGATAAACACCAATTTTTTTAATGACTGTCCATGGCTTTTATTGATTGTTATTGCATAACAGATCTTGACTGGAAACTGTTTTCGTGAAAAACTGAATGGCAAATCAGACGGCGTGTGTATGAATTTTATGCGAGGAATGTATACATGTGTTCCGATATAAGTTCCTTTCATTATGGTAGCTTCGATTATGGTTGGGAGAAGCTGTGAAACAATCAACCGAGTACCATTACATAATCCTTCCTTTTGATTTATGTTTCTCAATAACATAATTGGTGTTCCTTGTTTCAAGTGAAGTGCATGAGGTGGGATTCCTGGAAATATTAATTCATTTAGGTACTCTGTGGGATATAGGCCTTCTAGATCAGATGTGTGTTTTCCATTTGGCTGCATTGAATCTGTACTGTTATATACTAAACCGGAAGCTGTGATAGTTTTTAGGATCATGTTGTTTATCTTATCTGCCACTTCATTTGTTGGACAAACAATTGCTCTTTCTGAAAGGTCTTTGGCAGTTGGGTTGGTGAGTATACAATCTCCATACACAAACCGTATAAGATCTTGTAACACATTTGGTCCAGGTGGGATCAACAGTGATTCTAGAATTTGAACCCAAGATGTGTTGTCCAGATCATATGTATCTGGACATCCAAGCAAACCATCTCCAATGTTGAGAAGCCAACTGGCAAAATCTATTGTTGATATTGTGTGTGTCTCGGCATATGTATTTGAAAGCAAACACATATTTTCCGTAAGCATTTCTAACTTCAAAAAGAGGCCATAGATATGATTTTGGTAGTGTAAGCGCTATTATCTCAGAACGTGTGCTTTTTGGGACAACCGGAAGTGTTTGTCGAAAGTCACCACCAAGGAGGACAGAAAGACCACCAAATGGTTTTTCCTTACATTCTAAAACATCTCGTAGTGACCTATCGAGAAATTCAAAACATCTTCTGTCACTCATTGGTGCTTCATCCCATACAATAAGTGATGTATGACACATGAGATCACCTAACATTGTTCTCTTTTTTATATCACAAGATTTTTTGTTTGTCAGGTCTATTGGAATCTTAAATCTTGAATGTGCGGTTGTTCCAGATGGAAGTAGTAATGATGCGATTCCAGATGCAGCAACAGCTAGAACCACTTTCCCAATTGATCTAAAATAAGAAAGAATTGTAGTCCATAGAAAAGTTTTTCCTGTACCACCGTGACCATAGACAAACATCAATATCTGTTTCTTATCTTCAATGCACCCAATAATCATTTGATAGATTGACATCTGATGTGCATTTAATCGTGGCAGAAATTGATTAAGTACTTCGTGTAGTTCTTCTCTATTGTAAGTCTTTCTTCAAGTAACAGTTGATTATCAATCACAGCAAGGATATCAGATGATGGCATCGGTAAATCAAAATCATGTAATGATCTTGAAGGGACGGAAGAACAAAGTGTATCCTCTAAATTGTGAAGCAACTGCTGTGTTATGAGATCATCCTTGAAAGACAAAGACCTATCCATTATTCTGGTTTTCATTGTGTACAGATAATCATCACACATCTTTTCATGTGCCACTTCCCATAAGAGGCGTGGATTACTTACTTCACAAAAAAGCAGCAGGTGACAGAAAAGGGATTGCAGTTGTGCTGAAGTCGCCCAGACTGAAGCTTCAATGAACGCATTCATCCACTCGGTGTCATCTCCAATTATTCCTAATGCATTGCAGGCACTTCTGTAGGTTGGATAGACAATGTTGGAAACGGTACATAGATCTTCAAATGATTTGCAACCCTTCTGATGAGAAAGTAGCATTCTCAGATAAAACAATTCACCAGACGATGGATGAACAAAGACCACCCGACCAACCATTTTTATTGAGTCATCAGCCCTACGTCCCCATGATTTAGAAGGAACATCCCATTTGTAATACTTTGGATAGTAAACATATGTGACATCATGACCAGATTCATCTATTGCATTGCTCTCAAACCATGCAAGAAGGGTTGTTCTAGAAGCATTTGGGTTGGACAAAACTTCTTCTATTGTGCTCTCTTCGTTAAGCACAATATGATGTGTGTTTTCTGTATGAACAGACATAATCTGAACAGGTGGGTGCCGGTGATGTATGTGCAAATCAAGAATACGCCATGCCGCCTCATGTGGACAGATGTATCTTCCATCTATGAAATTCTGAATTTCATTTACGAAAGAGGATTCCTTTTCTTTTCCATCCACCTTATTATTTGTCACAACACTTGGGCCACCTCTATCTTATGTTTCAGTTTTTTGTAGTGCATATCTAACACGATCTGCTCCTTTAGAAATGTACTTGAAGAGATACTTTATCATCATGTTCCATCCACAGTACTCAACGTTAATATGTGCATCAAACCGAGAACATAACCTTCTGTTATAAGGTACGGTATACCCATTATCTATGGGAATCCCACGTAGTGTTATGTGTTTTGCTGCTGAAGAGTGTTTGTAACGCACATAACCATCAGTATCAAAGAATGTAGATTCAAGAAATGGTTTTGGAAAATGTTTCCTACATTTGCCATCCTTCATACATGGAGCTTTTGCATTTAGTGGACCACATGGACCATGAATCATTCACGCAGTAATTGTTCTATACAATGCAGGTTCCGCAACCGGATATGGAAATTCAGCAGTTATATATCTATCTACATCTTCAGCATGCCGTATTTTAGATGAACTATTTACCCATAACAATGTATGACAATATGGAAGACCTCTCTTTTGAAACTCTATTGTATACAAATCTGTCAGCATAATTATACTTGTTAAATAAAAAAAAGTGCTTTGTTTTATGGTAGTGATATGTACGTCAAATTTAGGATGTACGAAACACAGGAACATGGAAGATAAGAATAAAATAATGTAATTTAATATGGATGGAAAACGGAATTGTAAGAATCTGAGATGACATGAAAATAGAAACTACTTATCCATTTAAAGAAAAAAGAATCTGTATTTGTAAACCATTCAATTTAAAAACAAATGAGGATATAGGAATCTAATTGAATACAAATGCAAGGATACAATTGTGACCAAATTGCGCCTACCTGCTACTAAAAAAAATGATTTTAAGAATTTTGTACCAAATTGCCCCTACATGCTACTTTTATACTTACAAAAAAAATTATCTTAACAGTTTTGGACTAAAATGCCCCTGCATAATGTTTCTATACTTAACAAATTTTCAACTTAACAATTTCCGATGACACAACAGTGGCATACAATTATATTCGTCTCATTTAGGTGTCAGAATAAAGAGTAAAGAAAAAGTAAAATAATCATGAAAATTGAACAGCTGATAAGATATTTCAATAAAAGATAATCTCAAGTAAGAAAAGATTTCAAGTCATAGACAAAGGAAATAACATACATGCATCAACATCACCAAAAGTCTTGTCTCGTTTCAAGAAGTCCACAAAATCATGAACCTTCAGTTTAAAAACCCTTGCAATGATATCTGCCCTGTTATTTGGATCCTTCTCGTCATATCTATCCATGTATCGTCTTATCTCAGGCCATTTTACATTGCATGTGAAAGTTATGAAATATTGTGGGTTACCATAAACTCTACATATGGCCAGTGCGTCCTGATAGTGACTATACATGTACCGGGGGCCTCCTGTAAAAGAGGTTGGCAAAAAAACTCGTTTGCCTACAAACCGACCCTCCTTGTCCCCCTTTGAAAGCGCATCATATAGCCCACTAACATACTCAGAACGAAGATTGTCCTGATGTTTAGAAATGTAGTCCAACCGTGCAGCCTCAATACAAGTATATGCATCCATGAGATATTGTTGAAACAGGCGGGAGGCACTTAAAATTGGAGATCATATTCCTTGTCGAGCATGGATCTGATATGCATAATACATGTTAACCGTAAGACTCCGAGCATTGACACCAACCTCATTTCTCAATTTCAACCGTGGAGACCAACCATCTTCACCATATGGAAACAAATTTGGATATTGCAGGGGCATGTAACAGGGATGAAGCTTGCTAATACGCTGTGGCCGACCATAATTAGAATGGACTACAATATCATAGGCAGTGCAATTACTGTCATCACCACTAACAACGCAGCCTAACGATCCCGGTGAAGGGAAATCATACCTGCGATCCGGAACATTGCTGAACAAACAAACAGAATAACAGCTTATGTTTTGTTGCTCTGCAACATCTTTTGCAGTCTTGAATGTTCGTACATATTCATTGTTCTGAGAAAAAAACGAAACCATAAACAACACTATACTCTCATCCAGATTTGGTTTTGTTGGACCATCAAAAACCCTCAACCTGTTATCGACTTCGTTTTCTATGTCAAATAAGTAAAGCTGAAGAAACTGTGGCCCTTTCTGAGGGTCTGGACACAGGGAACCAATTTTATGACTAATTTGTCTAGAAATCTTAAACACAAAAGGCCCTCGACTATCATTGACATGATCATCAACATCTGCTCCAAAAGATGTCATAGAGAACATACTGTTATAAGCTCTAATGTCCCGTAAAAAATGGTCGTTAGCAAAAAGGGCCATAAATTCATCCGACATTCTAGAAGGATAGGGAAGAACAACCGAACCACTTCTACAACAACGATGCTATCTCGGATGGTGAGGAGTAGACATTTTCAAATATCTTTCTC